TTATTATCGTCCTTTCTTATCACCATTATCATTATTACTATTATCATCAGTATCATAATTATCACTGTTGTTATCACTACTATTACATTATCATGATTGTTATTATACAATACGTAATCAAAATAGAATATGCTTTCCAATAACTTACAAAAATAAGATGCTACATTTCTTTTCAGATTGATGAACTAGTTCGCGTTAGATAAAAAAAACAAAAAACATCCATCTTGCAACTTGCAACATAACGACACAGTATGAAGCTTGGATATCGGGCCTTAAACATTAAGGTCAAATTGTTTATAAATCTCTGTCTCTGTCTCTCGGTCTCTCTCTCTCTCTCTCTCTTTCTCTCTCTCTCTCTTTTCTTTTTCTTTTCTTTTATTTCTTTTCTCTTTTTCTCTCTTGTTTTATCTATTTTCTCTTTCTCTCTTTTTTCTATTTTATCTCTTTTCTCTTTCTCTTTTTTTTCTCTATTATGTTATTTCTTTTGTCTTTCTCTCTGTGCATGTATGTATGTATGTATGCATGTATGTATGTATACATGGATGTGTGTATGGATATATTTATGTACATATGTATGTATGCATACACGTATATATGCATGTCTGTCTGTCTGTCTGTCTGTCTGTATGTATGTATGTACGTATGTATGTGTGTATGTATGTATGTATGTATGCATGTATACACTGATGTGTGTATGGATATATGTATGTACATATGTATGTATGTATGCACGTATATATGTATGTCTGTCTGTATGTATGTATGCACGTATGTATGTATGTATGTATGCATGTATGTATGTATGTATGTGTGTATGTATGTATGTATGTAGGTATGTATGTATGTATGCATGTATGTATGTAGGTATGTATGCATGTATGTATGTATGTATGCATGTATGTATGTGTAAAAATATACGTATATGAATATCTATCTATTTGTCTATTTACACATCCTTATTGATTTATTTCTAAATGAATTCTTAACCCGAATCAAAATCTTTCCAAGTTTAACCGGATCTTCTTCCCCGCGAACCTCGAGACCGGGGGGGGGGGGGGGGAG